CATTGGACTGAATCAAATGCTTTTTTGAAATCAACTTTCAGCAAGCATCGGGGGGACGATCGCTTCCTACCATACTGACGAAGAAGCTCCTGAACAAGGTTGATGTTGTAAAACACCCAAACAAAAATATATATATGTCTATATATATATATATATATATTTAAAGAGAAAGAGAGAGAGAGAGATGGTGATGAATGCAGTTTTCGCTGCCGATTTTGGATCGGCAGCGACGCAGTTTTCGCTGCCGATTTTGGATCGGCAGCGACGCAGCTTTCGCCATGGAATTCGGATGGATGGCCGACACAAATGAATGACTAGTTTTGGCGAATGGCATCCGAAAACTTGTGTATCTATATGTACTACTAGTTGTTATAGCAAATACATGAAGAAATTATAATTGTTAATGTTTTATTTAATTGCCAAACGGTTAGTTACCATTCTTATTCTTATTAAGTATTGCATTCTCTTAAATGTTTGTACTACTGCAGGGACTTCACACCAACGAGATGTCTAGGAAACCCGATACACGGGAACCTACCTTGCAAGGAATTATGTAGATGTATCTTAAATCACAATGTATTTTGTATGGATCAATGTACTGAATGTATAACTTTTATTAGATCCTTTTTGTTTAGAATTGTGATGACTATTAGTAGGATAAGACTGTAAACTCATGTCTATGTATATATTTTTAATATGAACTTCAAATCAAGCAACCTTAATATTACGTGTTTGTGTAAGATTCACTTTGAAATGAAATGTTGATTGTATGGATTGTATTTTGATGATGTGAGAATTTAGATTTATTGATTGCCGGCACCATGTGGAATGAATGCATAAAAAAAAAAAAAAATACTGTGTTTTGGGCTTGGAAAGCCGGGTTGTTACAGTTGGTATCAGAGCACTTGGTATGGATCCTGAGGATCATTAATAAATGTGTTGTTGTGATGAATTTCAGGATGGTACGCACCCGACAAGGGACACGAACTGAGCCGCCCTCCTTAGAAAGGAGGGGCATGAACCGAGGTGCCCAAGGTTGGCAAGATGAAGATCCCTTAGATGATACGACATCTCATGCTCCGATAATACCACCCAAAACCTTGCAGGGGGGAAGATACGGTGGCAGGGGAAGGCCCGAGGCCTCATCAGACAGAGGGAACACCCCCAGTCGCAACGGAGCAGCGAGAAAGATCAGAAGCACAACCATCTACTGTTCCAACTGGTGTGCCCCCACAATATGTAGATGCAGGACTCCTTGTACAAATAGTTAAAGCAGTGATGGAAGACATGGCTAGTTCAGCGGCACAAACAACTCCCACCACGCAGATTCCACCAGCAGCCCCTACGACTAGCATGACCATGGATAATGTGGTACCACTGGTGCGACTAGTTAAGAGTATGAGGGAAATGGGCTGTGAACCGTACATGGGGGAACAAGATGCAGAGATAGCTGGAAGATGGATCAGGAAGGTAGAAAAGACAATGATTCAAATAAGCATACCCGAGGGTTTGAGGGTAAATTGTGCATCCCAGTTACTGTCTGATAGGGCCATGACATGGTGGGAAACAGTTCAGCTGAGGCGTGCGACTGAGACACTAACTTGGAGTGATTTCAAGACAGAGTTTGAGAATCAGTTTTATTCCAAGTATCATCTCAAGGTGAAAGAACAAGAGTTCTTGGCATTGAGACAGGGTGATATGTCAGTATTGGAGTACGAAAGGAGATTCCATGACCTCTCATTGTTCGCCCCACATTATGTGCCGACAGAGGAACATATGATTGAAAAGTTGAGAGATGGGTTACGACAGGATTTGAGACAAGGATTGATCGCCTTGCGATTTAAATCAGTGAGGGAGTTGATTGAGGCTGCACAAGCTCTGGAGGCATGTATTGGAGAAAGCCAAGGGGGGTATCAGAGTATAAGCAAAAAGAGAGATGGGGACTATTTCAACGGCAGACCACCGCACCCGAAGAAAGGAAAAAGTGGAGTGTTTGAGCACGGAAAAAAGGGGAGTTTGATAATACCGCCTCACCAGCAATCAAGTGGGAGAGTAATGGTTGGACAGTCGCACTCGAGGGCAAACTCTTCTACTGGGACCGATGACCGCAAGGGTGTTGATTATCCTTTTTGTGCAAAGTGTGGACAAAAACACCCTGGGGATTGCTCAGTTTCCCCCGGGCGATGTTTTGTGTGCAGAGGAGAGGGCCATAGGTGGAGGAACTGTCAGTATCTTAATCAGGGGTGTCATTACTGTGGTGGAAGAGGTCATTACAAGAGGGACTGCCCCAAAAGGAACACCGGACAAGTACAGAGCTACAGACAGCCGAGTCAGGGCCACCAGCAGTCAGTCACCGTTAATAGGCCAGTGAGATCTTCTCAATCAGGGGCAAACTCCAGTCGAGGGAAGCCGAGGGCACAAAATGATCGGACCTCTGGGAGGGTCTTCCACCTGACACAGGAGGAGGCCAGGGCTGCATCAGATGTGGTGGCAGGTACAC